GTGCTTCTACCAGCAGGATAGGAGGCATTTTTCACTCAGGTGGGCATTTTCAAGCAATAATTCCAAACATGTGATGAACTGCCTTGTCCTCAAACAGCCTGGCCTCATAGCACTGCTTAATTCACATTTAAATTACACTGGGAACAAATACATTGCACAATGTTCAGCTCCAGGTTGCAGAGAAAAACATACTAATAGAGCTCTGCAATTACCAGTAATTTTTCTCTGAATCCTTCTCTTTCTCTCCCACTCAGGATTAATGATTGCCTTCACAAAGAGTCCACATGAGCTTTCAGAGCTAAAGGAGTAAACAGGAGGACATGCATTAACGTGGCGAGCTGGTTACCTCCCACGCCTGAATATAGAGCTTTTAGAAATGGAATTTTTTAGATGTGCTTCTCCTACAAATATCAGGTGAACATAATCTCCAAGGCCGTGGGTGTTGGGTGGAATGACATTCACATCAGTCATGGAGTAAATATCCAGGAGCATTAAAGAGGGAAGAAAACATCAGTCCAATTTCTTTGAGAGGCAGAGGACTTACTATGTGCCTAGGGTTTGTGCACGATGCTTTCACAGGTTTCAGTTTATTTCCTTTGCACAACTCACAAGGTTGTGAACAGAAAAAAAAAAAAAGCAAGGAAGGAAAGACACAATATTAAACCTACCTTTTTTGATTTGGGGTTCATTTTGGTGATATCAGGTATATCTGCGGGAGAATCCCAGCCCCAGTGATCCCAGTGTGTGAGCTCAGGTTAATTATTTAATGGTTCTGAGCCTCCTCTGGTCCTCGTCTGTTAAATGCCCTATGCTAGGTACACAATAATATATATTTTTTCCTTTCAGTTAGCTTATGTGGTTTCCTAACTGGGGTTACTAATATTGAATACAATATAAAAAGCACTGGGGCTGGTATTCGAAAATTTGGATTCTAGTTCCTACTCTGTCCTTTTCTGCTAAGACTCATAAGGAAATTATCTGGCTTTTTTCAATAATTAGAAAAACAACATTGCACATGGCAATATAATTCAAAATGTATTAAAGGTTATAAAATGAAAAGTGGGTCTTCTTCCCCATTAAGCAGTCATTGCCTTTCTTGGAGGCAATGCCTATTAACATTTACTTGAATATCCTTCTAGAAGAGTTTTCTACTATGCATATACAATTATACACACACACTCTAACCCTCAAATGGAAGCAGGCTTAAAATAAGCCTTGGAGATATTGTGTGTTGGCCCGTATCACCTCATTATTATTTTAATGTAGCTAAGCCCATATTGATAGTCATTTAGGTAATTTCCAGTCTTCTGTTAATAATAGTAATAGCTAATATTTATGGATTGTTTGGAATGTGCCAGGCACTAGTCTAAGTACTTTGTATGTATTAACTCATTTAATATAACCATCCTGAATAGAAGCTATTATCATCATCCCCATTTCACATCTGAGGACAATGATGCCCAGAGGACTTGCCCCTCAGACTCACAATAAATAGCAGAGGTAGAATGAACAATGCTATAACACATCTTCGTCTGCGTAGTTTTGTGCACATTTGTCAGAATAGCTAGCAAATGATGGCTCTTAACAGCAGTAGTGTAATCAAACTGCATTTTTGAAAGATCAATATGATAGCAGGGTGGAGAATGGACTCATCTTCTGGCACCTGTCACACTCCGCTGTGCATTTCCCTGCCCCCCCACCCCATCTCCCTTGTTAGATTATGAGCTTCTTAAAGGTAGGGATGCTGTACCCCAGGGATCGGCACTGGGCCAGGATATTGCTGACCCTTAATAACATGTGTGAATAATTATTTAAAAAAAATAAGGAAGACTTCAAAGGTAATGATAGTTGGTATTTGGGCAGCGTTTTAAATGGTGAATAAAATTTTGATGGACAGAAAATGGAAGAAAATTGTTCTTCTTTGTATCAAGAAACTACAAAGGAATGACCACATAGGACGTTCAAGGAAACAGAAAACTGCCCAGATTGTCTGGGGAAAGGGTCCATGGTGTGATATGCTCTCAGAGAAGACTGGAAAGGAAACTTAGAGGCAGACATGCAGGATTACCTGAGGGACATTACCCTGAGGGAAAGAACAGAGCATCTATGAAGGCACCCATGTAGACCCATGATACTGGTGTCAGTTAAATTTTTTGAATCCCAGTTTATAAAATTGCATTTATCTCCATACTAGTTTTCTTCACTTTCCAGCATCATAATAGATGACAGATTTGTCAGTATCAGTAGCCTGAAAAAACATCATATCAGTGCAGTGGGCATGTTTTCAGTTTTCATTTATTTTAATCCTCACCAACTCCCTGAATTCACTGACTAACATATTTATTTTTCTGAGTTCTGGGCCTGTGGGTCCAGGTTTATAGATGTAGCTTATAGATGTTCAATTCACATTCATTTATATGCAAACATACCTCTCAGTGGATTTTGTTACATTTCTGTTAATATTGAATTTCATGAAGTTATGTAGATATCTGACAACACATATTACTTTAAATACATGCTAACGTTTTTCGACACTTGATTGTTGATCCTAGCTAATATATGCTGTACGATTCAAATTAGAAATTAGTTCTGCTAACCACTCTTACTATGTATCAGCACTGCCCAAGAGGAATATAACATGAGCCAAATATGAGCCACAAATACGATTTAAAATTTTCCACTAGTCACAGTTTAAAAAACAAAAAGAAATACAAAATTGGTATGTTTCATTTCATCCACTGTATCTAAAATATTATCTCAACATGTAATAAACATTAAAATTATGAGATATTCTACTTCCATTCTTTTCATAATAATGTATGGTATATTTACAACACACCTCACTTTGGATTAGCCATATTTCAAGTGCAGAAGTTACATAAAGCTAGAGGCTACTATATTGGATAGTGCAAAAACTAGAAGCTATAGGTTCCAGCTTCTTTGAATAACACTATTAGCTGGAAGAGCTGTTAGACTGGTTTGCATCGTCCCTGCTCCAAGGTAACAATGTAAAGCTTCTTTCAAGCTTGTAATTATTTTGGGGAGAGATCTACTAAGTCTCTAGGCATAAAAGATTCCAACCATGTAATTTCTTCAGGGAAAAGTTATTCAACACCTCATATTCTCTTTATTTCTAAACCATCATGTGTGTTTTGTAATAGTCAATTTGCTTCTTTGCTTCCCTTCAGGATTCTAGGGAGGCTCTGAGAAAGCTTCCTTTTCCAAATCTGTATAGCACAAATAGAGAACAGAAAAGTCAACTCACTTGTCCTTAGACTAGTCATCTTAGAATGGAAATACATTGTGGTGGTTAAAAGCACCAAATATGCAGCAGAACACCTGGGTTCAAATGTTGGCTCTGTTGGTTACTGGTTTTATAACATTTATCAACCTGCAAAATGGGCATAACAGTATCTGCTTCACTGGATTGTCATGAGGATTAAATAGTATAATGTAGAACAATGACATGTACAAAAATTATATAAGTATTTGCTCTAATGTGATGTAGAAACAATGCCATATAGACTGTATAAATATTTACTACATTTTTTTTTACCATTGCTAACATTAAATCTCCTCCTTTCCCTTTCTAAAGTGTAGTATTTGTCACTTAGTAATGCCTTTGCTTCTCTACAAAGAAAAACAATGAGTGCAACACATTTTTTCAAGGAGAATTCACCTGAAAAGTAGCCAAGATAGAGTGTTTTCTTTTATAAATGGAATTAATTCATTAGGGATGTTACCTAAGAAATATTATTTTTAAAATAGAATACATAAAAAGCAATATGGCAGAACCACTTAGGTATCTTCTAGTGGTTGAGAATTGATTTGAAAGTGAATAGGAAAAATTTTAAATAACTGTCTATTTAAAAGGAGCCACTGAATGAATTTTCTAAGCTCAAAATTTTGACTCTACTATGTGATAGATGTTTGATTCCTTCTCAGTGATGTGCTTCTCCCCTCAAAATCAAGTTATGAGAAGGCATTTTGTAAACATTTAAGTTGTTTAATAAATATTTATCCAATAAGAGATATTTTATGGAGAAAAATCACCAGATTTAGAGCCTCCCCACTTCTCTTTAACTGAAAAAAGAAAAACACTTGAAAACAAGGGTATGTATAGATACATATTCCCTCACTCAAAAAAAATGTTCAAATATAAAATGAATCTTTAAAAAAAAACTTCCTTAGAAATTTCTGATTTCAAATCCCACCTGTTTCTCCCCTTACCTTCCATCCCACTCCCCACTCCTATTTCCAGTACTTTTTTTCTTAAACTGGGGTATAACTGCTTTCCAATGGTGTGCTAGTTCTGCTATACAAAAAAGTGAATCAGCTAAATGTATACACATGTCCCTTCCCTCTTACACCTCCCTCCTCCCCAGTTCCACCACTCTAGGTCGCCGTAGATCACCGAGCTAAGCTTCTCGCACTATATACCAGGTTCCCACTAGCTATCTGTTTTACACATGGTAGTGTATGTATGTCAAACCCAATCTTCAGTTCATCCCACCCTCCCCTTCCCTAACCCCCGTGTCCATCTGACCGGTCTGTCTGTCTGCATCTCTATTCCTGTCCTGCAAATAGGTTCATCAGTACCGTTTTTCTAGATTTCACATATATGCCTTAATGTACAATATTTGTTTTTCTCTTTCTGACTTACTTCACTCTGTGTAACAGACTCTAGGTTCATCCACTATCCAGTAGTTCTTGAGGAAAGACTTTTGAGGCAGAGTTTGCTTTTCACCACCCACCTCCAAGACAGCAGCAAAATGGGCAAGTACGCCTGGAGTTCTTCCTGAATCAGCCCAGGAAAGGTGACGGATTTAAACTAGCTCTGCATTGCAGGGACCCATGAACCACCCCCACCCACAACTGGCTAATTTCAAGAGGGCATGGGCTTCCATGTGTAAAATTTTTATTAGAAATCTTCACCAGTTGTGACTGGCAATGGGTAATTTTTGTTGTTGTTCAGTGAAAAAGAAATTACTACAGCTGACTGCATGCAGGAAAAGCTTTATTAAGTCATGGAACTGTTATAATTTTTTTAAACAGGGATATAGAATACTAAAACATTTTTAAATGACTTAGGAAACAAGTGGCACATATATAGTAAGCAAGATCTACTTTAACAATTCTCTCTTCTCCCACCACCCTCAATGCTCAACTATAGGACATTCATTTATTTATCATGTTTAGTATTTCTGTCTCACAGCCATCTGTCAGAGCTTTTGCTGAAAAAACATGATTTTTAACAATTAAATACACAATGGGGAGCTATGATTAGACACTTACAGAGCTTGAAATGTTTAAGAATAAGACACAATAATAGGATTACAAGAAGGGCAGTGGTATCTTTCAATTCATCTTGCTATTTCCAGTCTCTTTTTCAAACATTAATCTCTCAAGTCCACCCAAGTCCCATCCTTGAAAGGCATCCTTTTTTCCTCTCCTCCTCCAACGTCCATTACTTTAACAATTCGAGTTCTCTCGCCTGGGGAAAAGGAAAGTGATTAACCCACAAGAAACAATTATTGACCTCTAATTATTACAACCCAAATCACAGCACAAAAGCCAGTGAGGATAGGCGACAGAGCACAAGGGGACAGTCCATGTTTTCGGCACACTGAAGAAGAAGCGGGGTCGCGATCTTTAAGGCTCAGGGTTCACATGACGATGCACTTGCCCAGCAGCTTCTCGGCGGTCTTCGGGATCTGGGACTTCTTCTGCGGCGCCTGGGTGCCGGCAGGGGCCGCGGCGGCGGCGGGCTTCTTCTCGAAATTAATCAGCAACTGGAACAGCTCCTGGACGTTGATATTCATCTTGGCCGAGGTCTCCAAGAAGGCGCAATTCCACTCGCACGCATAGGCAGCACCTTCCTTCTCACTCACCTCCCGACGGCTCTCATCGCACTTGTTGCCCACCAGGATGACGGGGCACTTTTGCGGGTTGTTACCTTTGAGTTGACGGATCAGCTCATAGAGCGGCTTCAGCTCCTCCAGGGTTTGCTTCCTGGTGATAGAATAAACCAGGATGAAGGCATGACCCCTGGCAATGGCAAGGCGCTGCAGGCCCCGGTAGCGGCGGCCACCGGTGGTGTCGGTGATGTGCAGCGCGCCCGCCTTGTGGCTGCAGCCTAGCGCCTGGCGATAGGTATCTTCGATGGTCGGCAGGTACGCCTCACGGAAGTTGCCGCGCACCCACCTTTGCACCAGCGCGCTCTTGCCCACGCCGGCCGAGCCGAGCACCACCACGCGGAAATCTCTGCTCCTTCTCTGGGGCAGGCAGGTGCGGATGACGATCACGGTCGGCAGGGGCCGCAGCCGCTTCATCAGGCGTTCCTTGAGGCCGAAGCAGGAGTTGCCCATCGTCAGGTATTAGCTGAGAGGTGCGTGCACGGCTTCTCTGGCACTTGGCCCGCAGTGAGGGACACCTACAGAGGAGGAGAGAAGAGAGGATGTGTGAGCGGTGGGAGTCTAGCTCCGAATGGTGTCTCGTCGCAGCGACGGGCCCACTTTTCCCTGGGGACGTGGGGGCGGGGAGGCGGGGGGTGGGGTCTGCCTCGTCTCGCTCGCTAACCCCGCCCCCCTCACTCCTCCCACTTCCCTCCTCCCTCCTCCACGCTCTGCGGCGAGCTGTCTCCCTGCCCACCCCAGGAGCCCACCAAAGGCAGTGCGGGTAGGGAGGAGGGCAGGAGCGCCCCGAGCCTCTTCTTCCAATGATACCTGTTTGCTGCCTTCGCGGTGGCTACACACCTATTTTTATTTTATTTTATCATGCCACACTACAGAATACCGCAATAATGGACAGCTTGCCAACCCTTAAAACATGCACATCCGAGCAATGTTAGCAAACATTTTCACCCTAAACAAGCCCTTGCTGTTTTCTTTCCTGCTGTATTAAAAATTATGCGCATCTCTGACAAGGATCGATCACTGCGGGCAAGGGTAGGTTGCCGCAGACACCGCGATCCAGGGTGTGGTCACGGAGGACAGTGGTGGGGGTGCCCAGGAAGCCCACAGGGACCAGGATTCGTAACGCTAACAGAGACCCCCTAACCTGCAGCAACTGTCCCCAGGTACCCGCTTCCCTGATAACGTGCCCATTGCTTCCCACCCCGCGATAATCCAGGCTGGTTCGCTCGCTACACCTTGCGTTTGAGTGCCCGAGAAAAGGCGAACGATAGCTTTTACCTCTTTCGGAGGTGGGAACCTCGCGGCAAATTCGCTCCTTGCCCAGGTGGCTTTGGCCGCGGCCGCAGTGGCGGCAAGTAATTGCGCAACCAAGCTCCCAGCTGCAGCCGGCAACCAGCACGCTCGGAGGCTCCGGGCGAAATGCTCCAACCGACAGTGGGACTGAGATTGGTTAGCTAGAGCCAGGGGGCGCAGACTGGGAGACTCCACTTGCACCGCTCACGGAGGGGGGATTGGGTTGTGAGGGGCTGACCGAGTCAGACGCGCCCCCGGCAGTCTCCCCGGCGTCCCCCACACAGGTACCCACAGCCCAGGCAGGGGCGGGGGTGGGAGGCGGCCCTGTGTTCACAAGTGCCCGCCCACTGAGGGGGGTCCGCTTACCCCACTGGCGATGCAGGCATTTCTCACCTACTGCGATCCAAACCACTTCTTCACTTTTTGCCCTCTGCAGGTTTAGCCTTTCCCAACCCTCGCCACCTTTTCTTCACTGCAGGAAGGCCAGTTAGCACCCTTCTCATTACTGGTGATAGACACCTCACCGCATCTCATCCACTTCACTCAATAAACATTTGTCCAGCACAAAACCCAGTTTCTGTCTTTGTTGGGGAAGACCAACTGACACTTCTGTTATAAGACTTAGGAACCTGCCTCTTGGTAGGATTTCCTGTGGTGTAGACATGTTCTGTGTTTAGAGGTTGAGGAGTATCCTCTACACCCAGCAATATTAAGCAATGATAATATCCATCACCACTATATGTACAATACTTTTCATTTAGTCGTCGTCACAAAAACCTCCTAGGAAAATCCAGACTGGAAATGTGGGCAGCCTCCTAGGAGTAGAGAGCGACCCCTGGCTGACAGCCAGTAAGAAAGCATGAGCCGCAGAGCTAGCAACTGGATTTTTCCAACAACCTGAATGATCTTGAAAGCAGATTCTTCTCTAGAAACTGCACGTAAGATCAGACTATCAACATCTTGATTTTAGCCTTAATTAAGCAGAGAATCCAGTTGAGCTCATCCAGACTTCCAACTTGAGAGAGTTCTGGATTTTGCAGTTGGATGTCCTGTTAAGCCACAAAATTTTAGTTTGTTACACAGCAAAAGAAAACTAATTCAGCAGGTAAAATTACTTGTTCAAGTTTAAAGGGCTCATAAATGATGGACCTAGTCCCAAACCTAGTACTCCTCACTCCAAGTCTTGTTCTTTTTCTGATTATTATCCTTCTGTGTCATTAAGCTGATACAGTATATTTTACTCGTTAGTGAAAACATTTTTATAATTTTTCTTTCTTACACAAAGACTCATGCATGTTAGGCAGAGATCAAGAACACGAGTTTAGAGGCAGAAAACTAGCTTTAGAATGTTTATGGGTTTTTTCCCTTGTCTTTCTTTTGAATACATGTTAACATTGGAAGAAAAGTTATGACCAACCTATACAGCATATTAAAAAGCAAAGACATTACTTTGCCAACAAAGGTCCATCTAGTCAAAGCTATGGTTTTTCCAGTAGTCATTTATGGATGTGAGAGTTGGACTATAAAGAAAGCTGAGCACCAAAGAATTGATGCTTTTAAACTGTGGTGTTGGAGAAGACTCTTGAGAGTCCCTTGGACAGACGGGAGATCCAACTGGTCCATCTGAAAGGATATCAGTCATGAATATTCATTGGAAGGACTGATGTTGAAGCTGAAACTCCAGTACTTTGGCCACCTGATGCAAATAACTGACTCATTTGAAAGGACCCTGATGGTGGGAAAGATTGAAGGTGGGAGGAGAAGGGGATGACAGAAGATGAGAAGGTTGGATGACATCACCGACTCAATGGACATGAGTTTGAGTAAACTCCGGAAGTTGGTGATGAACAGGGAGGCCTGGCAGCTGCAGTCCATAGGATTGCAAAGAGTTGGACATGACTGAGCAACTGAAATGATAATATGCCTTTGAGCTGTGCGATGCTGGAGAAATTACTTTTCTGTAGAGGGGAACCGATATGAGAAAGAATTGTGGGGAGAATTCAAGGAGCTACTCCCTGATGCACTAATTAGAAGGCATTTAGAATACAATAGGTAATTTATAAATGACAGCTATGGGCCTTCACATAATAATATAGAAATCTGTATACACATAATCGTGTAGTCTTTGAGCATTTTTGGAAGTGCCAAAGACCTTTTTATTTAAACCAAATAAGAGTAGATTTCCACTGGGAAAACATAGCAGGTTTGGGGAAAATAAATTGAGGATAGAAGAACTTGGGGCAGGGAAGAAGAGCAGTGAGAATTCTGAGCAAGAATGAAATCTTTGCACATTCCTCCTAAACCACAAGAACCACTCTGCCTATTGAAATATGGCACCTAAAAGGTCACTTCATGGCAAAAAGAAGGAGAAAAAGTGGAAGCAGTATCAGATTTTATTTTCTTGAGCTGCAGATGGTAATGCAGCCACGAAATTAAGATGCTTGCTCCTTGGAAGAAAAGCTATGACAAACCTAGATAGCAGATTAAAAAGCAGATACATCACTTTCCCAAAAAAGTCCACATAGTCAAACTATGGTTTTTCCAGTAGTCATGTGTGGATATGAGAGTTGGACCATAAAAAAGGCTGAGCACCTAAGAATCGATGCTTTCGAATTGTGGTGCTGAAGAAGACTCTTGAGAGTCCCTTGGACTGCAAGGAGATCAAAACAGTCAATCCGAAAGGAAATCAACCCTGAATATTCATTGAAAGGACTGATGCGGAAGCTGAAGCTCCAGTGTTTTGGCCACTTGATACAAAGAGCCAATTTGTTGGAAAAGACCCTGATGCAGGGAAAGATTGAGGGCAGGAGGAGAAGGGAGTGACAGAGGATGAGATGGTTGGATGGCATCACCGACTCAATGGACATGAGTTGGAGCAAACTCAGGGAGATAGTGAAGGACAGAGAAGCCTGGCGTGCTGCAGTCTGTGCGGTTGCAAAGTTGGACATGACCTAGTGACTGAACAACAACAAGAAGTCTTTAAGGAATGAGAAAGACTAGAAAAGTGGGAACTGAAACTGAAACTGACGGGCATCAGTTTATCCCAGAGCAGACACCTTGGCACTTGACAGGTTGTCCTCTCTATTTGGGGGTAGTTCTGATTATTAATGAAGTTTTCATAGTTTACCTGTCACTCCACCCACCGATTCCAGTTTCATCTTCTGGAGTCTGGAAGTGCATTGATCAATCTGCTCCTCTGGATGCCCTTACAGCTTTTCAGCTATTTGAAGGCAATTATGTCCAATCACTAAGTCATTTATAATGCTGGGAGTGGCCTGAGGACCATCAAGTCAAACCCTTCATTTTGGTGATGAGGAAACTGAACCTCAGGGGCAATATCATGCTCTCACCTGAGACCAAGCTTACTCTTCTCTCCTGTAGCCTCGCCTTCTGTTTGAAAACAACTGTTCCTTGGGGTGTATGGATGTCTTTTGTTCCACTGCTTTTTATTTTTTTCCCATCTTTATAATGCACATTTGTTTCTTTACAAACTAAACTAAAAATACAGGTTTCAAATACACACAAAAAAAGAGGCTCCTGAAAACACTGATATGGAAGATGAAGGAAGATGCCTTTGGAGGAAAGACATTTAAAACAAAGAAAACAAAAAAGGAGGGGAAGAAAAAAATGGAGGAGGAAGAAGACAAAGGAGAAGGAGGAGGAAGAAGAGGAGGAAGAAGGAAAAGGAGGAGGAAAGCAAGAGGGTATGGAAATATATATCCCAAAGTAAAGTCTTTAAATGCCAGAGAGATCAAATTATGAGGGTGTACATAGAAATCACAAGGAATGATAAAAATACAAAACCATAGCTTCTCCATCCAAACCAGGTCTTGTACTTCAAAAATCAATAGAAAATATCTCACTTTAAGAGGAGCCCTAGCCCAGGGATCCAGCATTGCAGTAGGCCAGAGAGTCAAAGGAATGGGCCATTGAGTAGAGCTCCCTGAGAAATGAAACTACTATACAGTGGTTTCCATTAGTTATCTACTTTATATATAGTAGTGTATATATGTCAACTCCAATCTCCCAATTCATCTCACCACTCCTTTCCTCCTTGGTATATGTACAACTGATTCACTTTGCTATACAACAGAAACTAATAAACATTGTAAAGCAACTATACTCCAATAAGATTTATTTTTTAAAAAAGGAACACACCAGACCAAAGTTCTGGAGGAAATATTGGCTAGTTAGGATCCACAGTTTAGAGATATATCAGGGAGAAAAGATAATTAATTGAAATCAACATTGAGATGAAACAGATGTTGGAATTACCTAACAAGGATTTTAAAGCAGCCTTCATAACAATGCTTCAACAGGCTGTTACAAATTTTCTTGAAACAAAAAATAAAAAATTTTAGCAAAGACCTAAATAGACGTTTCTCTAAAAGAGACACACAGGTGGCCAAGGCACATGAAAAGATGCTCAACATTGCTAATTAATAGAGAAATGCAAATCAAAACTATAATGAGATAACACCTCACACTAGTCAGGTTGGCCATCATCAAAAAGTCTACAAACAACAAATGCTGGAGAGGGTATGGAGAAAAGGGAACCCTTTTGCACTGTCAGTGGGAATGTAAATTGGTACAGCAGCTATAGAAAACAGTATGGAGGCTCCTTAAGAAGCTAAAACTAGAGCTACCATATAATACAGTAATCCAACACTTGGGATTATAGAATATAGAAAGGCAATCAGTTGTGTCCGACTCTTTGAGACCCCATGGACTAGATAGTCCTTGGAACTCTCCAGGCCAGAATACTGGAGTGGGTAACCTTTCCCTTCTCCAGGGCATCTTTCCAACCCAGGAATCAAACCCAGGTCTCCCGCGTTGCAGGCGGATTCTTTACCAGCTGAGCCACAAGGGAAACCCAAGAATACTGGAGTGGGTAGACTATCCCTTCTCCAGCGGATCTTCCTGACCCAGGTATTGAACTGGGGTCTCCTGCATTGCAGGTGGATTCTTTACCAACTGAGCTATCAGGGAAGCACTCTTGGGATTAAATCTAGAAATAAACATCATTCGAAAGGATACACGCACCCCAGTGTTCACTGCAATGCTGTTTATAATAGCCAAGACGTGGAAGCAACCTAAATGTCCACCGACAGATGAACAGGTAAAGAAGACGTGGACTACCAAACCATAAGAAAGAATGAAATAATGCCATTTGTAGCA